TAAAGCAAGAGATAGGTGTAGGATGCCATTTTCATGTTCAGCCTGCATGAAAAACTCAGAGTAACCCATTATATTCAGAAACAATCATTAAAAAAGTTTTTTCAGTGATTCACATTATAGGTATAAACGTACTGCCTGAAGAGGAAACATGAGACCCCCTTCCTATGGGCTCACCACTGGCGGGAGGGGCCAACGGGGTCGGGTGCAGTGTGTGACGGGTGGTAGCCGAGGGCGGGGACCTTGGAGGTCTGATCCTCGGCTACAGAAGCTGGGTCTTGGCATGTGGAATGTCTCTGGTGGGGAAGGAGCCTGAGTTGGTGTGCAACGTTGAGAGGTTCTACCTAGATATAGTTGGACTCACTCCAACGCATGGCTCTGGCTCCAGAACCAGTTTCTTTGAGAGGGGTTGGACTTTCTACCACTCTGGAGTTCCTCCCACTGAGAGCTGCCGAGCAGGGGTGGGCATACTAGTTGCTCCCCATCTTGATGGACAAGCACCATCTTACATTGGTGATCTTCTTGGTCCCTACACCCCCAGCAGGTCCCTGAGGTCCAGTGACCAAAGCCTACTGGTTGTGCAGCACCTGGCTAAAGACCAAAGGTGACAGATCATTTGCTGCTGTGGCCCCCAGACTCTGGACCTCTCTCCCCCTGAGCCTGAGATCAGTGGACTCAGTGGTCTCCTTTAAAATGCAGCTGAAGACTCATTTGTTCATGCTTTGGTGTGACCTTCACCACTCTCTCTTTATTCTGCTCTCCACACCTATTCCACCTTCCTCAGGATCCACCGACTTCCCTCTTTCCTATTCACTCTCTCTCTTTCTTTAACATTTTTGATCACAATTGTCTATTTTTGCTCATTTTAAATATATTTTTAACCATTTTCTAAATTCTTTTTGACATTTTTACATTTATTGTTTTTGTGAAGCGCCTCGTGATTTTTATCTTGAGTGGCACTTTAGAAAAGATATTTTCTTCTTCTTCATCTTGATGCCTTTATGTTGGGGTTTATCCAGGTGAATGAGAGGGTAGCCTCCCTCTGCCTACGTGGGGGGTGGTCCTAACTGTGATCTGAGAGCGCTCCTTCTGGCGACTCCCTCGTTCTGCTGGGGGACTTTAACGCTCACGTGGGCAACGACAGTGAGACCTGGATAGGTGTGGTTGGGAGGAATGGCCCCCCCGAACTGAATTTGAGTGGTGTTTTGTTATTGGACTTGTGTGCCAGTCATGGATTGTCCATAATGAACACCATGTTCAGACATAAAGGTGTCCATATGTGCTCTTGGCACCAGGATACCTTAGGCCGCAGCTCGATGATCGACTTTGTTGTTGTTTCATTTGAAGGTATACGTGAACACTCGGGTGAAGAGAGGGGCGGAGCTGCCAACTCACCACTAGCCGGTGGTGAGTTGGCTCAGATGATGGGGGAGGATGCCGGTCAGACCTGACAGACCTAAACGTTATCGTGAGGGTCTGCTGGGAATGTCTGGCAGAGTCTCCTGTCAGAAGGAGCTTCAATTCCCACCTCTGACAGAACTTCCAAAATGTTCCGGGCGGACAATGAGTCTGAATTGACCCTGTTCTGTGCCTCCATTGTTGAGGTGGCCAACCGGAGCTGTGGCCGTAGGGTCGTCGGTACCTGCCGTGGCGGCAACCCCCGAAACTGCTGGTGTACACCAGCAGTTAGGGATGCTGTCAAGCTGAAGAAAGTGTCCTATTAGGTCTTTTTGGCCTGTGGGACTCCAGAGGCAGCTGATGGGCACCGGCAGTCCAAGCAGAATGCGACTCGTAGTGGAGGCAAAAACCTAGGAGTGGGAGGAGTTTGGTGAGACCATGGAGCAAGACTTTCGTAAGGCTTCGAGGTGATTCTGGTCCACCATCCGGCACCTCAGGAGGGGGGAGCAATGCACTACTGTTATGGCCACCAGCCTGGCCTCTTCAGATGCAGGAGCCAGGATCGCCCAGCCCAGGTGATCAGCCAGTCACTACCCCTCCTCCTCTCCTCCAGGCTGCTGAGGAGCACAGCTGAGCTGAATCCCTCTGAAAATCTACACCTGGGATTAACAGGCTGTGCCTTCAGCAGTCCGGGAGGCAGTAGTGCAGGGGTTCTGCTGTCCTCCAGGTAGGGTGACCAGATGTCCTGCTTTGTGCGGGACAGTCCCGCATTTTCATTACTTTTCGCGTGTCCCGCAAATTGAGACTCATGTCCCGCATTATTGACAGTTTCCCGTTTCTAGTTTCAATCCTATAGAAGAAACTGGAGAAATCTGCCAGTCAAATGGGGGCGGGACTTTAATGCAGATCCAGAGCATGTGTGGAGCGCGCCCGAACCACAAAACACGCGTGAGCGAGCGCGGAGGACAAAATGCTGTAAAGTCGTGAATTAAACGTGTTCAGAGATACTCGACAGTCTTTGTTGTTTCTGAGTCATTTTTCATGTCTCGGCACGGAGTCTGATATAAGAGGTCAAAGGCAGGTTTTCCAGTAATTAGACAGGTCCATGATAAACACAATGGAGGCTTTAACACAAACACGGTGCTGCGGTTTCAGATACCTGCGTTCATGCTGAGCCCCTTAAAGCACAGTGAAGAAATAATGAGAATAAATGGAAGCTTTGATCACTTATTCTCAGAATAAAGTAACTCTAAGAAACTATTATTAGATTAGATCTGAATTTTTTAGAGATTAGAATCTGATGTTTATTCTCTCACCTAAAATCTAGAAGAGATTTGTTGTCATGTTTAAAAAATCATTTTGTTTCTGAATTATGAAAAAAATAGCTAAAAAGTATGGATATTTTTTCAATGAGACACTGATTTTTGTGGAAAATTACCATAAAACAAACATAAATAGATCTAAAAAATATAATTGGTACTTTTACTGTCATTCTGTTGTGGAAAACATTGAATGAAAACTCTGAAAAGCTGCTTAAACCTGCATATTTTTATTATTGCGGGCCGATCTTTGTTATTAATATGATCAGAGCCACTACAGAGTTATGTTGTGGTAACGTGAGAGGAACTGTGGAATAGTAAAGCTTTTGCTGTTTGCTTCTTCATGTTGAATTCAAATAAAACATATGATGATAATAAGAATAATATTTTTTTGTATATGTAACAGTGATGTTAGGGCTAAAAGGCAGAATGTACATTTTGTTTATTTTTTTCTCATTGGAACTTCACGTTGTCCCACATTTGGCAAGCTGGGATCTGGTCACCCTACCTCCAGGCCTCGTTTTGTTTTAAACCCCTTTTGATTTGATGAGTTTTAAAAGGTAAAGCTCCGAGTTATCCAAAGGGATCTTTGATATCAACTTAGTTGACTGAGTTTTAAGGTTTTGTTTTGCATTATTTTAATAATGCTCTCCATCTGTTTTGGGCTTGTTTTAAAACCTTTTATGACCACTAAACACTTTTATTCCACTGTTCCAAGTGCTTACGTTACCCCCTCCTACACATTTAAACAACACATGTCGGGGGTGTAACGGCTACCAACACTTTCTATAGCGGGAACGGTGTGCTGCTGACCTCTACTCAGGACGTTGTGGATCGGTGGGCAGAATATATCAAAGACCTCCTCAATCCCACCGACACATCTTCCAGTGAGGAAGCAGAGTCTGGGGACTTGGAGTTGGGCTCTCAGGTCACTGAGAGGTCACTGAGGTGGTTAAAAAGCTCCTTGGTGGCAAGGCCCCGGGGGTGGATGAAATCCGCCCGGAGTTCCTTAAGGCTCTGGATGTTGTGGGACTGTGTTGGCTGACGCGGCTCTGCAATATCGTGCGGACATTAGGGGCAGTCCCACTGGACTGGCAGACCGGGGTGGTGGTCCCCTTATTTAAAAAGAGGGACTGCAGGGTGTGTTCCAACTACAGGGGGATCACACTCCTGAGCCTTCCTGGTAAGGTCTATTCAGGGGTTCTGGAGAGGATGGTCTGTAGGATTGCTGAACCTCAGATTCAGGAGGAGCAATGTGGTTTTCGTCCTGGCCGTGGAACACTGGACCAGCTCTACACCCTTAAGGTTGGTTTATGCTTGACGCGTCCGCGAGGTCCGCGCGGAAAAGTTGCGTCATTTTGCGTCATTTTAACAACCACGCCCCTCCGCCGCGCCTCCGCACGGCCCAGAATTTCCGCAACGCGCACCTCGGAAAATTTCTAACCACGCGGACGGTCGGACGCGGAAAAACATGGCGGACCGGCAAGAACTAGTATGGCAGAGGTTCGTAAACACAGACATTTGTATGATTCAGCTCTCAGAGATCACCGTGATCAACATGTTGTTAATAATTCTTGGAGAGAAATAGCTCGCACTGTCGGAAAAGACGAGAACGCTGTTAAAAATGCTGAAATGCCATGTTGTAAACAACAGTCATTTCTACTTCTACTACGGTGTAGTGTTGGATGCACGCTGTAGAGCTCCATGCTGCCCCGTTCAGTTTGGGAGAATATTGGCTCACCGCAGAGACAAGCCGCACAAACCATAAACACTGCGAGTTGTGAAGCGCGTTCCAGCCGCGAGCCGCATCACCGCGCGGAAAGTGAATGCGTCAAGCATAAACCAAGCTTTAGGAGGTCCTGGAGGGTGTGTGGGAATTTGCCCAGCCAGTCTACATGTGTTTTGTGGATTTGGAGAAGGCGTTTGACCGCGTCCCTCGGGGGGGGCCCTATGGGGGGTACCCTGGGAGTATGGGCTACCACTAGATGGGGCTGTCACATGTAATACAATAAATCACATTTTTACATGACTCATGGTTACAGCTTCTTAAAGGGACATGAACGGTGCCAACCTACACACATCTTTTCATTTTCTTATCAAATTTATTGATGTGGGAAAATTATCTCGATAAGAGTCTGAAAATTTGATAACGATAAATTTTTTACTTTATTGCCCATACCTAGTTTTGTTTAATTGTGTGTGCCTACATGCAATTTGAATCTGAACCCCCCCACCCCCCTTTACCCACACACATGAAAAGAAAGTGTCTTAAATCCACTGTTCTACCTGAGACATGAGTATCAGCTGGACAGATGTCAGGAGACGGTGAGGACACTGGAGCTGGCTCCTCTGCACAGATCTGCAGGAACAACACAACCACAATGGAGTCAGATCCATTAGTTGTGGCAGCAATGAAACAGTCAGACTGGAATAGGGAGCCTAAGTCTCCTGGCTTTCCGGTCGGCTCATGGGACCCCGGAAGAACGAAAAAAATGATGCAAGTCAACGGGGCTAAAAACACTTTTTTCTAATCCACTTTGCCTTACGCTTTGTAATTAGCACGACTATACACCAGAAATCAGCACGTCACATGTGTGACATCACCACATAATCTCCTCCCCCCCAACGTAGCTGCTACTTACCACATGACCAGATTCATGGTGGATCTTTCTTCCTGTGGGAAGTTTGCTGAACTTACAGCCATTTTCCCTCCGTTTTCTCCGTGTCTGGTTCGATGACGTCACTTTCGTGAAGCTCATTTGTAGTCCTGGACTTATTTTCACACAAAAACCTAAAATAGCGTTCCCCCTGTTCAACATTGAGCACTTTCTTGGTATCTGTCATGGTCTGCGTCAGCCCCTTCCTTTTTTGTGCCTCCTGTGTCCTCCATCCCTCTCTAGATTCCCTCTTGTGTCCCTTTGTTCCCCAGCTCCTCTTGTGCTCCACTCCTGGTTCCCCCTTTGTGCTCTCTTAGCGCCCTCATGTGTCCTTGTCTGCATCCCTGTTATGTGTCTTATGTTGTAGCTCTTTGGCGCCCTCATGTGTCCTTTTTCCTGCGTGTCAGTTTAGTGTCTTATGTTATCTTTTCTACTCTTTCCTCCCAGGTCAGCTCCAGCCTCGTTGTCCCCAGCTCAGTGTGTGTGGATGTATGTGCTATGTCCTCCTCCAGCTAGTTTGTGTGAGTCCTTCCCTCTGTCTTTAGGTAATTGTTGTTTAGTTTTGTGTTTAGGTATTTGCCCTCCTCTGTTTCTGTTTTCCCCATTGAGTTGATTAGTGTCACCTGCCTTCCCTCCGGTCCTCACTCCACACACCTGCTTCCTGTTTCCTTAATTTGTCTCCCAGTCTATTTAAGCCCGGTATTGTCTCTGTCTTGTGTCGGTCCATTAACGTTTGTTAGTTCTGTCAGTTTTGTTCCTCTGTGTTATTTCCAGAGTTTCTAGATCCCCAGATATTTATCTGGTTTATTTTTTTTTTTGGTTTTTGGATTTTTGCTCCCAGCTTGGATTACTTGTTTTTTTTTTTGGCCCTCCTTCAAAATAAAGACTTTTTACTTATATCTTCACCCCTGCCTCCGTGTCATCCTGGGTACTGCATTTTGGGTCCACACCACCCGTCCCGTGACAGTATCAAAATGCTTCTTTAAAATTCACGGACAGCATATGTGAAATCCATGGCACAAAACAAGCGAAATTAGAAAATAGCATTTTTAGCCCCAATGACTTGCATTCGTTTATTTGTTCTTCTGAGAAGCTAAACGTCTTCAAGAAAGCAAAGAAGTCCAGTTGCCTTCATTTCAAATATTTAAAATTTCCAGTGTTTGTAATTATGTCTGCGACAACAGGTTTAAACAGTGCTGCATCTAAGGGTTGGTGTTTGGTTTGTATAACAACCCAATATGAGAATCCTCAGACCAAAGAGTGATGTGTGATGATCCTGACCTCAGGTGACCTGATGTGGACTTTAAGGCGTCCTGAGTTGTAGCTGTTGCCTGCAGCTCGCTGAACTCCATTGTGCAGAGACGTGCTGCTTGGAAAAAGTCCTTTACCTGGGATGAAGGCAATCTCCACCATGCTGTCCTGACTGGAGGCAAACCACATAGACAGAGAGACACAACTGTAGCGTAGAACATTGCAGGGCCAGGCAGAGTTAGTGTGGAGTCCTGTGTCCCTTCCACATTATCTCTCCTATCCCAGGTGTCCTTGGGTCCCTGTCCTTTAGATTTAGGTGCTTTCAAACTCACCCCCTAGTTATAGTATCAGACCAGCCATTTCCAGCCCCCAGCCTCTTAGTTTGATTTTCAGGTGTTATTTTGCTTTTAGTTTTTCACCTTCTAATCCTTCCTGGTTCCCTGAATTGTGTTATTTGGTTTTCCAGATTTGTAGCTTCTCGGTTACTTTTCTCGTTTAAGTTTTCATTTTTCCCTGCCCTTGCTCCTTAGTACCTTGTGTTGTCCTGTTACTTTTGCTCAGTTTAGATTATTATCCTCTCCCTGGGCTGACACCTTACCGTGGTGGAGGGGTCTGAGTCTACCATAGGTCCTAGGAGCTAAGTTGTCTGGGGCTTTGTGCCTCTGGTGAGGTCACCCATGGCAAACAGGTCCTAGGTAAGGGATCAGACAAAGAGCAGCCCAAAGATGCCTTATGATGATGAACATAGATATAAACAGTGTTTTCCTTGCCCGGACGCGGGTCACCGGGGAAACCACCAGGCTCCAGGCTGTGGAGCCAGGCCTGGAGGTGGGGCACGTTAGCGAGTGCCTGGTGGCTGGACTTTCACCCATGGGGCCCAGCCGGGCACAGCCCGAAGAGGAAACATGCGTCCCCCGTCCCATGGGCTCACCGCTCATGGGAGGGGCCAACGGGGTCGGGTGCAGTGTGTGATGGGTGGTAGCCGAGGGCGGGGACCTTGGCGGTCTGATCCTTGGCTACAGAAGCCGTCTCTTGGTACGTAGAGTGTCTCTGGTGGGGAAGGAGCCTGAGTTGGTGTGCGAGGTTGAGAGGTTCTGACTAGATATTGTCGGACTGACCTCAATGCATGGCTCTGGCTCCAGAACCAGTTTCCTTGAGAGGGTTAGACTTTGTACCACTCTGGAGTTGCTCCCACTGAGAGGTGCCGAGCAGGGGTGGGCATACTAGTTGCTCCCCATCTTGGTGATTGTACGTTGGGGGTTTACCCCGGTGAATGAGAGGGTAGCCTCCCTCCGCCTACATGTGGGAGGACGGGTTCTGACTGTGGTCTGTGCTTATGCACCAAACTACAGTTCAGACTACCCACCCTTGGAGGAGTTGCTGGAGAGCACTGCCTCCGGTGACTCCCTCGTTCTGCTGGGGGGACTTTAACGCTCATGTGGGCAACGATAGTGAGACCTGGAGAGGTGTGGTTAATGTAGTTAATCATCTTCAGCTTGTCCAAAATGCTGCAGCTAGAGTTCTGATGAGAATTAAAAAGAGAGATCATGTCTCTCCTAACGGAACTGACGCGCCACCATCAGCGTCAGCCTGAAGAAGCCGGCAGCCGTCGGCGAAACTGTAGCTACAAACAGGTAAACAAAACTGTTTCTGTGTTTAAAAAAGAACGAAAGCATGGATTTAGAAAGACACAGCAAGAACACACCTAAGATGTCTCTCCTGTCTTAGCTTCCCTACATTGGCTGCCTGTTAAATTCTGAATAGATTTTAAGATCCTCCTTCTCACATATAAAGCTCTTAATAATCAAGCTCCATCATACATCAGTGATCTGATTGTTCCATACATTCCTAACGAGCACTTCGCTCTCAGACTGCAGGTTTACTGGTGGTTCCCAGAATATCTAAAATTAGGATGGGAGGCAGATCTCTTAGCTATCAGGCTCCTCTCTTGTGGAAACAGCTCCCAGCTTTAGTCCGTGAGGCAGACACCTTGTCTACTTTTAAGACTAGGCTTAAAACATTTTTATTTGATAGGGCCTATGGTTAAAATCTGATGTTAGCCTAAATCTGGACAAGTGGGAGAGTAGAGGGAGGTGGAGTGTACAGTCGGTAAAGACGGCTCTCCCTTGCCCTGCCTCCAACATGCCTCCATCTAAATAGGATAGATTATCCAGAGTTATCTCTGTAGTTATGCTGCTATAGACTTAGGCTGCTGGAGGATACACTGACCACTTTCCACACTCGACTACTTTTTTCTACAATCTGCTCTTTAACTGTATTATTTCCTGCTATTTCAGCTATTAACTTTATTTTCTCTCTAAGTGTTTTTCTCCCCAGAAGAAGCTACAATGATGTTCTGCTGAGCTGTGGTGGCCTCATGGAGGGGGCCATCGTCTAGCACACTGCTGCTAATCACTTAAATATTCTCCCTCTCCTGATAATAACTTTTTACTCTCTTTGACATTGAATGTGCTACTACTAGTTTACCTGTTTAATTATAGATTCACTAGGATAAATACAATAAAGTTTATCTCTCACCAAATAGAATATTTACTAAGAAATCACAATGTAACCATAGAAACACTACTTGGTGTGTGTGTGTGTGTGTGTGTGTGTGTGTGTGTGTGTGTGTGTGTGTGTGTGTGTATGTGTGTGTGTGTGTGTGTGTGTGTGTGTGTGTGTGTGTGTGTGTGTGTGTGTGTGTGTGTGTGTGTGTGTGTGTGTGTGTGTGTGCTCCGTCTTCTCCATCCCTAGTGAGTCGTGGAGGATGGCTGCTTATACTGAGCCTGGATCCTCTGGAGGTTTCTTCCTGTTAAAAGGGAGTTTTCCTCTCCACTGTCGCTGCATGCTTGCTTAGTATGAGGATTGCTGTAAAGACTCTGACACTAGTCAGTGACTAGATGCAACCTGCTGGGTTACTTATATAGGAAACTTTTTACTGATTGGCTTAATGAACTGACCTGTATTGGAATGTGTACTGTGTGAAGGTCCTTGAGACGACTCTGGTTTTGATTTGGCACTTTATAAATAAACTTGAATTGAATTCAATTGAATTGAACTGAATTGGATTGAATTGAACTGAACTGAATTGAACTGAACTGACCACTACTTTGTGGTGAGTTGGTTTCGGTAGTGGGGGAGGATGCCGGTCAGACCTGGCAGGCCCAAACATGTTGTGAGGGTCTGCTGGGAACGTCTGGCAAAGTCTTCTGTCAGATGGAGTTTGAATTCCCACCTCCGACAGAACTCTTAAAACGTTCCAGGGGAGGCGGGGGACACTGAGTCCAAATGGGCCCTGTTCCACGCCTCCATTGTTTCCAATTCGGGATAAGCGGAAGGAAATGGATGGATGGATAGATTATTATCTTCATTTAGGTCCTCCTGTTGTCTCTGTGTTTTGCCTCCCTACTCAGTTAAATAGTCTCACCTCCCCATTGCTGTAATCAGTCATCAGCACACCTGTTGCCTTTGTCTTCACTCACCACTTCAGCATTATCTAAACTTGGTCCTGTTCATTGTCACACCCTGTCCTGTCTTCTCCTAGGTTGTAGTCTGTGTCTCCGTTAATTGCTCCCACCTGCCTCTTGTTTCCCAATCACCATAGCTCCCGTTCCTCATGTATTTAAACCCCTGCTGTTCTGTGTTCCTGGTGGTGTCATTGTTCCAGTGTCAGCGTGCGTCTTTACTTAATAAACCTGTGGAATTCATCCTACCTGTCTGCCTGCTTCCTCCCCGGTCTGGATCCTCGCCTTTGCTCCGCTTCACTCTGCGCACGTCGTGACAGAATGACACCACCCGAACCCGTTGATGGATCCAGCCGGGAGATTCTGCTCTGGGAGAACCTGCTCCAGTGGCTCACGTCCGACCACCGGCCAGCTTCTCCATCTCCTTCTGCCCCAGCTCCGCCTCGCCGCCGCCGGCGTCGCCGACCTTCGGCCGCAGCGTTCCTCCCTGTCCTCCCGGAACCGGAGGCATGTTTGGACCGGGAGCCGCTGCCAGATCGCTCCAGCTATGAGGGCACGAGGCTGGCGATCTGTTCCCCCGGAGTCGGTAAACGGCGTGGGGAGAGACGCCGGAAGCCACCACAGCCCAGCGCTTCTGGACGGCGCTTCGAGCCCGCCGCTGGCCGTGCCCGGCGCGTCAGTTCGGACACGCCCCCGGCCAGACCACCAGTCCCGTCTCCTGCCGAACCGGAGCCCCCATCGGTTGCAGAGGATGGAGCAGCAATCGCGGCCCGGCTGATGGAGCAACGGGCGGAGCTCGGCCGGTTCCGCGAGCTCCTCAGCCGCAAGGAGTCTCACCTAGACGCCCTATCCTCCTCGTCCCAGGGCCAGAGGAGCGAGCGCGGGGTTCCCCCAGCGGAGCTCGCCGGTCAGCGGGCTGAGCTGGCCCAGCTCCGTTGGACGCTCAGCCTCAGGGAGCTACAGCTGGACGAGCTGACCTCCCACCTCTCCTCAACGCTCCAAGCCCTCCTAGCAGCGGCTCTGCCACCGGCCCAGAAGCAGACGGCACCGGCCCATAAGCCGACGGAGCGGGCCGAGAGACGGAGGGTACCGACCTGGAAGCAGATGGAGCCGGATCCGATCCAAAACTCGGCGGTCCAGAAGTCGAGGGACCAGAAGCCGACTCCTCCGGGCCAGAAGCAGACGGTTCCGGTTCCGGTCCAGAGGCCAGCGGTCCAGAGGTCGACGGTCCGAAAATCGAAGGACCAGAAGTCGATGCCCCTGGACCTGAAGTCGATGGTGGTCGACGCCCCATACTGTTCTGAAGTCGACGCCCCTTCCTGTTCTGAAGTCGACGCCCCGTCCTGTTCTGAAGTCGACGCCCCGTCCTGTTCTGAAGTCGACGCCCCGTCCTGTTCTGAAGTCGACGCCCCGTCCTGTTCTGAAGTCGACGCCCCGTCCTGTTCTGAAGTCGACGCCTCTGATGACGTCGCCTCTGATGACGTCGCCTCCACCTCTGATGACGTCCCTCTTCTGAAGTCGGCTCGTCCGATGACGACGCCGCCTCCTCCTCTGAAGTCGGCTCGTCCGATGACGTCGCCGCCTCCTCCTCTGAAGTCGGCTCGTCCGATGACGACGCCACCTCCTCCTCTGAAGTCGGCTTGTCCGATGACGTCGCCGCCTCCCAAGTCGGCTCGTTCGATGATGTCGCCTCGTCTGGGGATGCTCT